TGTGTTACCTACAAGGAATAAACAAATTAAATTGTTTGATTCTAGGTACTCATACCCACATTGCTTATGACCCTGAAAGTACAGCATTATTTTTTTCAGTGCTTGGTAAGCATCATAGAGAGGGGAAAACTATAAAGAACACATAGTATGCAACACTTAATCTGTATAAAATAACAAGGGGGAAATATTTTCCTATCCAGTAATACAATATTAAAAATATTGATTGTTTTAATAAATTTTTTAGAAGAAATTCTCTTAAAATATATTTGGTGAAGGAATTCTTAATGGAAAAGGAAATAAATCCTTGACTGAATGATAGAGATTTTTTTTCTCATATATTTGCTTGGAGAAGGGAGAGTGATAGGAAAAAACTGGTGGCCTTTGAAATTCAACCTTGGGAAAGTCACTTAATCTCTCCAGGCTGTTTTTATTTATCTGCAAGATAAGGAAATTGGGCTAACTCCCTAACTTTAATCCTTTCCTAAAGTGCTCATGTTCTGTTCTATGAATAAATATATTAGATTTTAGTTTCCATCTATCAGGTAGATAATTAAGTGGAAAAAATATGGAAAGTTAATGTTTTAATTTACCAACTCATTTTTGTCTCTTCTATTTTTTTTTTAGGATGGAGACAACAGAAAATGGAAAAGCTAGCCGTCAGTGAAGAGTGACTTGAAGAAATTTAGTATATTGCAAAAATATTTTGGGCAAGAATTTGATATAAGTAATTTTACAGCAAGATTGTATAGCTATGTTGCCTGGACTGGTTTTTACATTTTTAAAATATTTCAACAACTATCTTTTTTGTACTAATTATAAAATTGGCATATAAGTCAAAAATATACATTAGAGATTTGTCCTTCCAACTCACACAAGTTTATTTTACGGTAAAAGGTGTTCCCTCTGGAAATGTTTTTTAAAAAAATTCTTAGGCTTCTCTTTGCCAAATAAAACTATTAAAAATCTGAAATGCAAAATACTGGGAGTAATTACTTTAGAAAAAAAGTATCATTCATTTAATAACGGACAATCCTTAGAAATTTATAGAGTTTAAGTAAGATTTGAAATCTTACATAAAATCTTACTGTTGCTCTGCATCATATATAGGGTGCTCTTCTAGGGAAGAATGTTTTGTTTATTTTGAATTATTTTGCCTTTGTAGTGGTGGGCACGTATGTGTGTGTATTTTGGTCTTTTTATTCCTCTGAAATTCATGGTTTATGTTAAATGTTTTGTAAACCTTCTTCTTGTACTGCTTCATCTGGAAGCTTCTAACATGTTGTAAGAAACATGTTATTTTAGTGTCTTACACTATTTCTAGGTTT